TAGCCTTTTTTAAAGCTAATCATAATTAATCGAAGTCAAATCAAATCAAATACCGGGTGATAGACCTTTTTGCCGTACGGAAATACGTTGTCCAGGGTGCACCACGAGGAGGTAAGTCTATCGCGCACCCCGGATGGTTGACATTGATTGTCTTAAGGGCCAGTGAGCGCATTTGTTCTGGAGGGGTGTTTGATTTCCTGAAGTAGTCAAGCAGTTGGGTACAACACACTACATCAGTGTCTGCTAATGGGTTTTGGGGTAGAGAGAGGTTTTTCTTTTGGTCATCAATTTGTGTTGCTTTCTTCAGTTCTAGGGCAGATTGAGTTTTTAGGTGTTTTGGCCTATTTTCGCAGGTGGTGAAGAATTTGTCCCTGGGAATGCGCAATAGCTTCTCATATAGGATCAGGGCCTTCTCTTTGATAAAGAAACGTATTGTGTTGCTTCCTGTAACCAGGAGCATTGCATCAAGTGTAATTCTATCTTCCGTAACCTTCTTGATAAGGGAGCCTATTGTGGTGTCTTCCTGTAACTAGAGCATTGCCTCAATGGGTGTTGATTTTATCCCTCCAGTAATTGGTCGTAATTTGGGTGTGTTTCTATCCTGTAACCCTTCTTGATAAGGGAGCCTATTGTGGTGTCTTCCTGTAACTAGAGCATTGCCTCAATGGGTGTTGATTTTATCCCTCCAGTAATTGGTCGTAATTTGGGTGTTGATTTTATTCCTCCAGTAATTAGTCGTAATGCCTGGTTGTGCGTCTTCTCGAGTGGTTTGTGGATCACTTCACTGCAATGATTGGCTCGCAGCAAAACAGCTTTATTGATTGAACAAACATCTTGTAAGTGGTGTTTGGGGTTGAGTGTGTGCAGCTCCATATGCTACCAGCAAGGCGCTTCAGTACATTCAGCCTATTGGAGGTTCGTTCTGCTATTATAGCAGCGTGGCTTTTCCATGATAACTTTGTGTCAAATGTCACTATGAGATAAGTGAACTCGCTGGTTTTTTAAAGAGAAGTATCCTCGTACTTTAAATGCAGATATATGTTGTGATATGCCACTGAAATTGCTTGGAACGCGATTTTGGAGGTGTTGATAACCATTCCATTGTTGTCGCACCAGTTTGCTAGTAGTTTAAGTGCACTCATGTTGTCGCACCAGTTTGCTAGTAGTTTAAGTGCACTATTAAGAGCGATTTTTTTGCGGTGTTAATTACCATTCCATTGTTGTCGCACATAGTTTAAGTGCACAATTTAGGACACTTTCTGTCCTCTCCCAGTTTAAGTGCACAATTTAGGGCACTTTCCGTCCTCTCCTGGGGGTTTTTCTTAGGGGCGGAATACCATAAAACATGACCATCTGCATAAAGTAAGCACTTGATGTCCGTGACTGTGTGTACCAGTTAAGCTGTCATTAATGAAGACGTGGGGTGTGCGATAGACTTACCTCCACGTGGTGCACCCTGGGCAACGTATACTCATACGGCAAAAAAGTCTATCAATGGGCAGTTGACTTCAAACTACCATGACTCCACTGTATGACATATTTGACCACTTCCACAGTACTACATCACATTTTTTCTAAATTTTCAACCTTCGTCTTTGAAACACTCTTCAGTTCCCCTCCTCTCGACTTTTTTTCACTTTGATGTTCCTTCCCCTCTGTTAAGCCTGAAGTCAACCAAAGGGCTAATGATAACCATCAAAACGCCTGCCATTTAATATAAATAAATTGATGAAGACTTTGAGAAGAGTGTAGCTTGTGACATCTCCCTGTGGACGACCTGTTTGTAAAAGAATAAATTTATTCAGATCGTTTCCATATCTGACTTTGCCTGATCTTTGGACAATGAGTGCTTTTATCAAGTTAAGCATGTTATGTTTTATACCAATTTTTGCCAATTTTAGAATTAGGTTCTCTTCCCATATTAGGTCATATGCTGATTTGAAATCGATGAATACAGCCGTAAGAGTATTTATTGCATCAAGGGCATCTTTGATATGTTGAGATAGAGAGTGGTTACTTGTTGGCTTGTTGATCATTGTGGCCTTAAAACCTGCTTGTTCTTTTCTAAGAAAGTTGTTGGTTTCAATAAACCAGGTCAGTCTCGTGAGGGAGATAGGCCGATAGTTGTCAAAGTTTGCTAGGGTCTTTGCCCTTTTTAGTATTGGTAATACTATGGCAATTGTCCATTAAGTAAGTACGAGACTGGTCTGCCAAATTTTGTTGAATGGTGTCAGCATGATTTCCTTGGCTTTTGGTCTCATTCCAATTAGAAGTTCCGGATGGATACCGTCTTCACCAGGAGACTTTTTGCCCTTTGACTATTTATCGAAACATTAATTTCGCAAGGTCTGAAAGGTTCAGTTAATACATTATTTGGTACTTTTGTGTCTTCCGTAATTTCATCAAACTGACTTGTTTCTTTATATCTCTTGAAGGGTTTTTGGCAAAAGGGTTTTTCTTTTGCTTATGGGAATAGAACCTTGCAAAGTAGTTAGCTATTTCGGAGTCGGTGGTAAGCAGTTTTTTGATCTAGTGTATTGGTTCTTTCTTGGATCTTTTCTTGTTGTTCATGAGGTTACCTAGGAGTTTGAATATGCGCTGACCATCATTTTGATATTTGAGATGAAGTTGTCGAAGGAAGTTGATGGGACTTACGTGAAGTTCGTTTTCTAAAAGGTTTGTGAATCTAGGCCAGTCAGCCTTCTTGAAGTTCCATGATAGCTTGATTAGCATTTTCGGTGTCATGTATTTGTTTCTGATGGTAATACTAGCAATGATTGATTTGTGACCAGAACCAGGATCGTCAATTTTTTTTCGTGTGTAAGCTCGCTGATGTCGCCTGAAGCCAGAAGAGAGTTTGGAGTTGTTCTGGTTCTATTGTAGCGTAGGAATGTAGCTGGATCATTATTGCTGTAAATAATTTCATAGGAATGATGTAAAGCATTCTTCGATTTCGTTTCAAGCTGCGTTTATGTTTTCATAGCCTCATCTGGTGGAGTGGGCGTGGAAGTCTCCAAGTACTACAGTTTTTTGCGAGATGTTCAGAAGATCGAAGTTGGGTCTATTTTGGGTTGGATCATAGACCGCGTATATCTTGAAGTGGTTTTGCCATTTCTAAATATTCAATCTGATCACTTCGCATATATCTTGGTTTGAGCCCATACTCTTGATTAGTTGGCAATGTGATGTGAGGCTTTCTTTCATTCCAGTCAAACTTCCACTTATAACTTGCCGCTCTTTAGGTAGGAGTTATATGGTGTAAACTGGGAATTGGTAATATTTGGGTTTGTCATACGTAAGGTTGGATTTCGTGATTGTAAATATGTCTTCATCATAGGTATGCAGGATTTTCTAGATTTGGATATTTTATTCCTGTGACATCCCTCCAGCATTCCACTGAAGAATCTGTAGAAGTTGTGATTCGCACTGATAAGTCGATTTCTCTTGTAGTTTCATTTCAGGCTGATCATAATTGTTTGAAGTCAAATGTCTAGTTATAGACTTTATTCCCATAAGAGCTTACATCCGTGGGGAAATATACGCTACCAACTATTATACATTCGACTTAACTCTCGTTGGACCAAGAATTCTTGCGGTTGTGCTGTTAATAAGTTGTGTAGAAAGAAATGTGCAACCCAATCGAGTTTTAGTGGCGTTGTCTAGGGTAATTGCAATTATTTTGGGAAAAAGGTTATACTTCGATTTGCCTATTCGATGTACATTCTCATATTTATCAAATTTAGAATATTTCAATTATATATATATCAGAGACAATAATTTAAAGGATATCACTAGAATTTCTACAAAGTTAATTATATACGTGGCCAAATATCCTGGTTATATAAAATATCCTATGTCAGCACAAGAGAGCAATGAAATGATTAGTCAAAAGTAAATTTAGCTCCATATAAAAACATACTATTAAAATCTACACTAATAAAAAAGTGGCCTTTTAATCAATTAAAAACTAAATTTTAAATTATGAGGAAATGGATAATTTTGTCGTTGAAATTCTCTAAAGAAATGAGGTCTTTCAAATTTGTTTAGCCTTTTCACTTTGCATGCCGCGGCGCCCACTCGAAAGGCTATTGCGATGTCGAAGTGTTTCTTTGATATTTCTATCGGTGGTCAGAGTAAGGGGCGTATCGTTTTTGAAGTAGGAATGCTTTCTTTTATAAAATATCCAAAATTTTAGCTTTACTCTGATGTTCCCAAAACTGCCCGAAACTTCCTTGAACTTTGCACTCATAAAAATGGCTTCGGATATAAAGGCTCCACTTTTCATCGCATAATTCCAGACTTCATGTGCCAAGGTGGTGATTTCACAAATCACAATGGCACTGGTGGCAAGAGTATCTATGGCAAAAAGTTTGAAGATGAAAATTTCAATCATAAGCACGATAAGCCATATTTGCTATCAATGGCCAATGCTGGTCCCAATACTAATGGGTCACAGTTCTTTATTACTGTTGCCAAGACCTCTTGGCTTGATGGCAAGCACGTTGTCTTCGGTGAGGTTGTAGAGGGACAGGACGTTGTTAAAGCAATGGAGAACGTCGGATCTAAATCTGGCGCAACGGATATGGAAGTCAAAATCGAAGATTGTGGTGAATGTTAGGCTTATGAATGTATCACATTTTTCGTCATTCCCTTTAATAGCTAAATTTTCGCAAATAAACTTATATCATTGGTATTTTTCGTGTTCAAATTTTTTAACAATGAAAATTAATGTTTCTTTATCACCTTTTATAAGTCGACTACTGGGTTTCCGTGTTAATTACTAAAATGGTTTAATGCTCGCATTAATTTCGGTACCATCAACGTACAGTTATTGTTGTCGTGTGTGCAACGTGATGGCTGCGAGCTTTTAGACAGTATGTTTAATTGTACGGTCTAGTGAGTTCAGTGGTAATAGGTCTTGTTAAAGCAAAAATGGTCTATTTGAATGGTAATAATTGTTATGCCTCATGAAGCTACAATTTTGGGAGGCAACAGGGATCTGTGAAAAAATGAAATATGTAATAAGTTATGGCAATGAAGGTAGAAGGCTTTGTGATACCTAAATTAAGCTCTGTTTGCCTGTTAAGTGGTTAAATGCCGCTGTCTGTGACTTCGTAAGATACATAAGTCACTTAATGTGCACACAAGGCATGCTCCACCGCTAATTTTATGTTATCTTCAGAAAACCGAGTTGGTGTAAAACAAAGAACACCGAGATAGCGATGGCCGAGTCATAGGGGATGATTCATGCATGTGCGCAAGCTCGACAATAAAGTGGCCATATTACAATAAAACATACTTAAGCAGTATTAACTACCATTGATTCCGTTGTAAGGAAAGAGCCGCTTAAAATCGTCCAATCCACCAGACTGCTAATTCGTTCTTGTCCAATAATGCAAAGCTACGCTTCTGGAAAAACGCAGTTGTACTTAAAGGGCCACTGTCACCATACTTTAGAATAGAAGAGGCCTAATCGAATACTTTTGTGACTTTCGAGAGGTACCTATGTGCCGGATTATTGATCATTTCACTGTTGCTCTCTACACTAACCGCAGTACTACCCGCGTAGAATTCGACCTTGCAATTATAGTCTAAAAGGGCACCCAAACCCCTTGCCAACGTTCAACTCCATATACGTATGATTTATTTATTTCAAGTCTTCTACTTTTCTTTTCCTTGAGTCTAAGCAATTGTGGCCTCATAAAAAATGATCAAGTGACTTTCCAAACGGCTAGATCAAACACATTTCAGAGATTAAATTAAACACTTCTTTTCCTCTTTTCTTTAACAATAAACCAAAATTTTAGAATGGAGCCACTTTACACAAAACAAGGAACAGGGAAAGCCGAATTACAGGTAAACACAAGCAGGCAGTTTAAGCACTGGGTGTAGTTGCCGTAACTACATCATTCGGTTTTGTAGGAGCCGCCATTGTCTCGTTTTTCAACTCTTCACCGGCTTCTTCATCGTCAGTTTTCAATTCCTCTATTTGTTCTTCAGTTTCGCCTTCAGCTGCATTTGCATTCTCAACCCAGAGACCGGAGTCGATGCACTTTTTAAGGTACATCGCAGCATCTTTGGGGTCCATTGCTTCCAGGGTTCTCTTCAACATATCAACATCTCGAGCCAGAAAGCATTCCTGTAGTTCCTACAAAAGATATCCAAGATGTTAGCAAAGGAACCAGTCCAATTTTGTCTTTAGATTTTCATTTAACATGCAATGACTGACATTAAGACTGATACGATCCAACAAACCTTAGCTGTAGGCATTCGAATCGCTCACTTCCCGGTTTTCTATCCTGGCATAATCATTAGCTGATCATGTCCAAAAACGTTGGAAGAAAGAGTATTTAAAAAAGCGTATTGGAGCCTCTCTGGTGATGGACTCGTTTTCTACAACCTCCTCATAACCGCTATGAATTAATGTTGCCAATTCATATCATTCATTTGATCAAAGCCAATGATATTTAACAACGAAATACTTTGAGCACTACACCGACCCAGTTATAAAAATTTTCCAAATAAATAAAGTAGTCATTGGCAACCCATGTCATGGATAGAAAAGATATAATGAATTCATTTTAAGGAATATCTCGCTAACTAACACCCATCTTCCTGGACAAAATTAGAGATTATCGACATTTTGGGTACGCCAATAAGCGTCGTCCTCGGTTACGTTGACTACTAAGTCATTGGTAGTCCAAACTGTTTACTTTTACCAGTAGCCATTGCTAACAGGTATGCCTGTTGAAGTCACTTAGTGGATGAGTGACGATAAGTAAGACAACGTACACGTTAACCACTACTATGCCACTGGTGCATATAATTCTCATGAGTTAATTTATCATTAAAGCTATTCGGCTAGTTTATGAATACATAGCTAGCATTATATGTTAATTAAAAACCCCCTAATGCTTCCAGCCTGCTTGAAAAATTGGTGTGTCTGGCACATCGGAATGTACGATACCAGGGCGTTTGATTAATTGAAAGTGAGTAACTCAAACGAACAACACTAGACTACAGAGAGGGGTACCAATATCCAAATACACACAGCTAAAAAGTACAACTTCAAAGCGTTAGATTAAGATAGCATTTGTTCAATGGCTAAACTAAATAATAAGCGAATGACTTGCTCGCAACAGATTGGGTGGAGATAAAAAACGAAGAATTGTACTTGAAAAAGCTAAATTTAAATTAGAGACATGCTTCTGGAAGAAGTCCTTTAGTTCGTCTTGCACCTTAAAATATTACATTTTAATGTCCTGATCTATATTTCAACGTAATTCTACTGAAGGATAAAAAATGGAGAAAAACAGATAACATATTATTCCTCCTAATTAATTTCAATATCAGCTTTAAATCATCGGTTTGATACAAATGATAATGTACCTCTGATATTAGGAAAATGCCATCTGCAATCAAACGGAAATGGGGGTAGATAGCACATTGGAGAAAACATCGATTCTTGAAATATAGTGACATCTAGTGCGATATTTATTAACCGTCAGTTAAGTAAGCTGAGCTCCAACTAAACAGAAAATCTGTAAGGAGAGAACTCAGAGGAAGCATTCACTTTTCGTGACCAAAATTGCATATTTCAACATATATTTCCTTAAAAAAATGTTACATCGAAATCTACACACCGTATCCAAATCGCTAAATTAGAAATCATGAGTTGGAGAACCAAAAACACACAATCAAAGCTCAAGTTAGTCAATTAAGCAGCAGCCGTACTTCTATAGGCATAATCAAAGCGCCAATTACCTTGGGTAGTTCATTCATCACTTCCTGTGGATCGAGACCTCCAGGACCCAGGCGATTTTGACGCTCTTCCTCTTCCAATTGTTGCATTGCTTCCGCCAACTTGACACGAGCTCGGTTGCGAATCCTCTCACGGAAAGCCATCAGTTCATCATTAAACATACGCTGGTATTCCGGCTCAGGATCGATGAACCTAAAATAGAGAAGGAAAAGAGATTCATGAAATTGGTATACACCAATGAATGTGCATTTGCACCCATTTTTATGCACCCTTCACCAAACTTTTTGCTTGAGTCTTTTGTATGTATTTATCAGTTTTGTGTAAATACTCAAATTAAACTTAATTGAATTTAAATCCCTGGCCTATTCAACCTCTGTTTGTTGACATTTATTTCGTAAGTCGGAAACAATTTTTTTTCAAAAGTATGATTTGAGTAGAGGTGAAAGGATATAGGACATCCAATACACCATTCTCTGAGGAAAGGGAAAAGTAGTGGTTCTATTCTTAAGATTCGATCAGAGCCAAACATTGAAGATGAAAGTCATGGAATATTGATTTTCAGGAAGACGATTTTTTGTATTTATATCAAAAAAGCTAAATCCCTCTGTTAGAGAGAATACTCTGAATCAGGCAAATTTCAAATAATAGTAATAAAATAGAAAGATGTGTAAATTAGATCAGCCAATTTATCACCCATCTTTCGACCTACTTGACTGCTTATACCCTAAAGAGATGTTGCTCAATCCCCAGAAACCTACCTTCCTTTCCTATATGTCTGCAAGTAATTATAAAGACAAACAAAGCATAATTTCGCAGAATTTACTATGGAAAGAGGAATAATTTCGGAAGTAATCTAATAATACTAACTTAGCTTACAAAAAACCAGCATCAGTCTTTCTTAATCAACTTTGTGTGCTGTTTAATGTGAGTTTATCGAGTTTTTTTAGAAATGATGGTATAGCTATTGACTCCGTTACTTTTATGAGGTGTTTAAAGTATTTATTTATATCAAATGGCAGGCGTTTGGATGGTTATCATTAGCCCTTTAGTTGACTTCAGGCTTCACAGAGGGAAGGGAACATCAAAGTGAAAAAGTCGAGATTGAGGAAGGGGGAACAGAAGAGTGTTTCAAATAGGGAGGTAGAAATGGTAGAAAAAAGGTGAGGTGAGTACTGTGAAATAGCCGAATATGATGTACAGTGGGGTCATGGTAATTTGAAGTCAGAAGTCAACTGCCGGTTTATAGACTTTTTTGCCGTAATAGTTTACGTTGCCCAGGGTGAACCACGTGGAGGTAAGTCTATCGCACAACTCCAGGTGTTTAAAGTAAGTAAAGCAAAGATTATGGTCA